AAAAAGGAGGCATATGTAATACTTTCAACAATAAAGAATTATTTTAAAAAGACAATCTGAAAAAAGCTACATGCTGTATTATTCTAACTATATGACATTCTGGAAAAGGTAAAACTATGGAGGTGGTAAAGAAATCAGAGGTTGCCAGGGGTTAGGGGTGAGAAATGGATGAATAGACAGAACACAGAAGATTTTTAGGGCAGTGAACTATTCTGTATGATGCTGAAATGGTGGATACATGTCATTATAAGTTTGTCCAAATCCGTAGAATGTATAACACCAAGAGTGAGCTTAACATAAACAAGGATTTTGGAATAGTGATGTGTCCTTGTAGGTTCATGAGTTGTAACAAATGTACCATTCAGGTACAGAATGTTGATAATGGGGAAGCTAAGCATGTGTGGGGACACACTGTATAAGGTAAATCTCTGTACCTTCTGCTTAATATTGATGTGAATATAAAACTGCTCTTTTTTTTTCTTTTTTTAAAATATATTTTATTGATTTTTTACAGAGAGGAAGGGAGAGAGAGAGTTAGAAACATCGATGAGAGAGAAAAATTGATCAGCTGCCTCCTGCACATCTCCCACTGGGGATGTGCCCGCAACCCAGGTACATGCCCTTGACCGGAATCGAAACTGGGACCTTTCAGTCCGCAAGCCGACGCTCTATCCACTGAGCCAAACCGGTTTTGGCTAAAACTGCTCTTAAAAAAAAAAATGCCCAGCTGGAGTGGCTCAGTGGATTGAGCATCGTCCCATGAACCAAGAGGTCCAGGTTCGATTCCCAATCAGGGCACATGCCCGAATTGCAAGCTTGATCCCCAGTGCTGGGCATGCAGGAGGCAGCCTATTGATGTGTCTCTCTCATTTCCTCTATGAAATCAATAAAAAATATATTTAAAAAAACAACACACCAAATACTACATGATTCCACTTCTATGCAGTATCTAAAGTAGTCAATTTCATAGAAACATAAAGCTGAGTGTTGGATACCATGGGTCAGGGAGCGGGGGGTGGAGGGAAAGGGGTATTGTTGAATACAGACAGACAGAGTTTCAGATTTGCAAGATAGAAAGGTCCTGGAGATCTGTTTCACAACAATGTGAATATACTTAGCACTACTGAACTGTACTCTTAAAAATAACAAAGATGATAAACTTTATATTATTTGTTTTTTTACTACTATTAAAAAATCAATAGTATTCTTTTTCCAATATTCATCATTATCAAGTATGAAGTATTTTACCTACATATGAATTTTTTACTCTTTATCATACAGGTGTTTTTCTTTGAACTCTTGTGCCTCCCCCTGACCTTATTTTAAAAAGTGAGAATAAGTTTAAAAATGAAGAAAAAAACAGCATTGGGAACCAAAAAAAATCAAAATGAATCATTTGAATATGCTTAGCCACAAGATATAACACTGTTACTGCCAACTCTGAATTCCTACTTGTGCAGGAATCTATATTTACTAAACATATAAAATCTTGTTCTATTTGCCTCTTCTTAGGCATCATCCAGGTGACCAAGCCGGTGAATGACAGGGCAGTATTATCCTGTGATTACAACATTTCCACTGATGAACTGACAAAAGTTCGAATCTACTGGCAAAAAAATAATAGTGATATGGTGCTGAGTGTCGTTTCCGGAAAAATGAAAGTGTGGCCCAAGTATAGGAACCGCACCGTAGCCAACATCATCAGTAACCCTTTCATTGTGATCCTGGGTCTGCGCCCATCCGACAAGGGCATATATAGCTGCATCATTCAGAAGCCTGAAAAGGGAGCTTACAAGTTGGGACACTTGACTAAGGTGATGTTATTGGTCACAGGTCAGTGGAATTTTCTGATTTACTCTAAGCCTGCAAACTCTTCATGCCCTTCGAGATATACTCCTATTGAATTAGGTGAAAATTTTCTCCTAGAGGGATGTATCTCATTTTATTCCTTAGGGTTAAGTGAATCTCTACAGTAAACCCCAATTGGTTTCTCATTATGTCTTGGAAATATCTATTAGCGTGCATTTCTTGCACTTTGAAAATCCAAGTTTGTGACCATCATCCTGGGGCACTAGCATGACCCAAATGCCTTCTGAGTCATTAGGGGACACGTTTGATTTGATGTAACTATACTATTAACTGCTCTTGATCTGGTAATATATTCGTGTGAGAGTATGTTGAAAGGTAAAGGGTGTCCCAAAATTCACGCAAGAATTAATTTTGACAGAAAACATAGGTTTATAATTAAAAATTGTAAATTTTTTATTGATTCATAAAGTATACAGTATAGGATTATGTATGGAATAGCATATCGGGTGAATGGCCTCCACAGCTTTGCTGGCACATACACTCTTTTGTTGAAATTTTCTATGACCAAAATGTGGCTGCTCAGGCAATAACAGTTAATGGTGCTCTCTATCATGACATGATAATCCAGTTTTTTGTGCTGTGGAGGCCATTTTCCCGATATGCTATTCCATACATAACCCTATACTGTATACTTTATGAAT